CATGAGATACAGTGTTACACATAGACACCAAACTAAAATATTTAATAATAAAAAAAATCACTATATAAGTGGTATATAAACATATTCAGTAAGAGGGCTTTTTCCCTGAACAGAAGTTTCAGTGAAACTTCCTTGTTTTTTACCTTTAAAAACTGGTTAATCTATTAGTTTTCAGGTACTGCATTACATATATTTGGCAAACACCAAAGAGAAGCAGCGTTTCACATTGGAAGGAGTTTTTAATTGCAACTAGATAATTTGGACTAAGGAGACTAAGGACATTTAAATAGTGCATCTATCTTCATGAAACATGGCTGATCAGGAACTTTTGAAAATCACTCCTCAAAATAATTTCTTTTACTTTGATCCTGTTAACAGCAAAAGGATTTTTTCCATTCAACTATGAACCTGCAGTAATGTCACATTACTCTTTAGGCAATTTTTATGAGGTTATTTGAGAATACAATTGAAAAAAGCAAATTTAATTCATTTGGTGTATGGTATGTCCTCTTAAACATGGATTTTATTGTGCACTTAATAAGATCAGTGAAATCTTTACACTGATTTTGTGGTTAATAAAACTGGGACGATTTTACATTAAAGTGAAAGAAGCCTTTCAACTAATTTCAATAGAAGTTGTTTAGGAATATTTAGCAAGACCATTTGTGCAAAATTTTAAAAAATGGTATGGTCAAATGGTATTTATCTGTAAAATAGGGGAAAGGTTTGATGTTAGACATTTCCAGTAGAGCAAACAGCATTAATGAAAACCCTCCACCACAAAATACAGGACATGTGTCATCTTTTTATTCCAAAGTTTAAATATTATGTTTATATTAACAGTGTCTAACAAAATAAACATTTAGTTTCCATCTCATTCAAGAAATACTATATATGAGTAAATCAGTAATGACATAATTCAATTTACTTTTAATTATACAGTTTTTACATATGTTTTCCAAGGCAAGCACTGTAAAGTGTCCATTGATCTTATCTCTGCCAAAACAGTATCTAGAGAAATGTGCCTTGCAAAGTAAGGGCCTTCTTACTCCTTACACAACAGTGCCCAGGTAGTTCCAGAATGAATGTAACCTCCAACTAACACGATATGCTGAATGTTCACGCCCTCCCTCACAGCTGTACTGATAACAGAATAAGGCCGGTCTGTTTCCAAAACACCAACAATTTGAAGATGCTATTTCAGCAATTTCAGGCAAAAGAGAGAAACTTTACTTACCACTGAAAACTAACTTTAAACCTGATTTTAAAAATCAAATAAGTCAGCTAAATAGCAAGTTTAATTGAGACCTAGGAAAAATTGACTGAAACAAACCGTTATTTCAGGTACTTTTTTATATTTAGTTTAAAACATTAAATGTCCTCATAGTACAGTTCTGCTCTCCAAGCTACTTCATAAACACAATCTAATAAAATCAATTTCTCTTCACCACTAATCAGGTATTAATTTACCTTGTACCAGCCTAGACCCCACAAGGAAACCAGACATACTACTTACAGGGATTCCATTAAAACAGAAGCTTGTTAACACAGAATTATTTAGGTGTGTACACGCTTGCCTATGCAGCCCTCAGCTGAATGTATGCTCCAGGGCTGTTTATACTGAAAATCCATGAATGAAAAAGTAAAATTATGATTTTGTATATTTAAAAAAAAAAACCACCAAAACCAACCCTGAATCATAAAAACAGGCTTTAACATTTTTTCTTCCTGCAGATTATTTTTCAGTTTACTACTTCTGATTTTTTCTTCTGTTTTCCAATGTTATTTCTATGATATCTGAATCTGTATCAGCATAGGTTTTTTTACAGTGACAGAACAATACAACTGTTCGGACTTAACTACTCAGAAAATATTGGCTAAAAAAATTAAGTAATAGCTGTTCTTGCTTTCTTATCTTATTGTCCAAGTTGTCTCTTTACTTTTAAGACATCTGCTTCATTTGCCTCTCCAGTTTGTTACTAGCTATTTTTACTTTCAGTTTCTTAGCTGTCAGCACATTGTGCTGATGCATATATACAACAAAAATATTTTTTTCTTTCTGGGGAAAAAAATCCATGTCAACAAGCATTCTTTACATTAATTAAAACATTTATATCACTGTTATATTAAATCAATTACAGGAACTGACAAATTCCAACATAATTTCACACTGCACAGAGAAAAAATGTGTCATATTTTTTGCCAAACAGCTATTTTACTTTCTCTTATTAGGCACTAGGATCTTGCCCATTTGATCTTGTTTGTATCAAGGCTTATTGGATATTTTTCATGACTCAATTCAAAACTGTGAACACAATCTCAAAATTGATTAATCATATTTCTAAAATACTGACATTTGTACAATACAGGCATGGCTGTTTACGTACACGATATGATTGTATCCATAAATTCATAGACAATGGATTTTGGGTTTTTTCCTTTCTCACTATGTTTTTCTTTTTGATGACAAGCCAAAAATTCCAAGATTTTACTCAAATTAGTCATGGGTATTACAATCAATGGTAAAAATATTGGGTTTTTTTTTCAAATCTGCAATATCTAAATGAAATACATTTGAAAAACTAACCTGTAATCTACAATGCAAAATAAATCAGCCAAGTCTGACAAGAGAATCAGACACTCCATCCTGAATTACTCCATCTGAATTTGAATTACAGTATGGCCAGCCCAATTAGGCCATTAATACCAAGGATGTTGATTTCTTAATAGTGCCATAAAACACAACACTGATACTAAAATGCACATTTCTTGAAGCTCAGTTACAGAACAGTGCTGATACTAGTAACACTACCTGCCACGTTCTTGCCACTTTATCCCACAGGGTAGGAACTAAACCAACCCAGTACCTCAAATCTGCAGCTGATACAGTTAATCTGAAATTGAAGCAAGCATCCTTTGCACTAATTAAATGGGGAGGAGAGGAGGGAGGGAAATATCCCAATGATTTGATTATATAATCCCACTTGCTCTTCCAGAGGAAGAGAGCAGCATCTGGGAACCCTGCAGTTTTTTTTTTACCTCACCCCAGATTTAAAGAGTGCCCTGTGCAATAACAACTGTCTAAATCGCTTTGAGTTCCTGAAAGAAACACTTCTCTTTCATAAAAACAAACCATACAACTTAATGAAAAAAATTAAATTCATTATATGAAATGACTCAAGACACTACAAGGCAACACCAGGCTCCTGATTGTTTTTCCTCTGTAATTCTTTGGGGTGGGGAAAGATACGAACATTTCCAGTGAAAGCCCATGAGGCTGATGGCAGGTTTCCTCTGGGGCTGGAAATAGGAAACAAGTTATCTACACACTTTCCCAATACAGTCACCCTTTCAGATGTACTGAGTAACAGAGGCTCTATAAGGCTCCAATTAAAATTCTAAATGACTCAACAGGATTTGTGACAGACAGAAAACCCTGAGTCCCCTCCATCATCACCTTCACACCACAGCAGGCTGAAAGCTTCTACTCTTTCAAGAGAAGAGTTAAGCATTTCCTTTACAATACCACTGAAAGACATGGCATAGGTGTGTTTACTGTGCCAATTTGGGATGACAGAATTTGAGGTGCACCGCTACGTGCCTCACCTCACCATTTCTTGGTGAGGTAGCCTTCTCTGAGACGGTTAAATTTATTTAGAAACTGTTCTCTAGAAAAACACATGCCACAATCTAGAAGCCTTCTCTCCTCTTCAACACTTTCTCAAATTCCCTGTACTTCATAGACATGATTTTAAAATTCTACATTTATAATATGGAACAAAATATGAAAGAAACTCCTTATAGAAACCTCACGTTGTCAGTCTTTGCAGTGGTCTTTAATTAATCAAGGAAATTATACCCCTGAGACTTGATCAATGACCAATTTATTTGAAGCATAAATATTAACCTCATTAATTAAGAGCTTGCATTGTCTCAGACAGAAAATCACCATCATTAAACAGATTACGCTTTTGTAGCTTGCCCTCACCATTATTTTTCCTAAGGAATACAAGAAGTAAGAGGACATACCTGTGTAAACACAAGCTGATAAATATTTTTCTTAAGAAAACTGATGCTTCATTCCATTTAAAGTCTGTACTTCTTGATATATTATAAATATTATGCTTGTTATAATTTTAGATTTTATTTGCGTAGCTATTGTACTGCTAGTTTAGGCAGATTAACAATCAGATATACACATATGCATGGAAAATATCACCGTACAAACCAGAAGTGTTGTTTGATGATGAAGTACCTAAATGTACTACGATGTACAGCCCATCTTAGATTCTTTACATTTTACAAAGCTGAATAATTTGAAATATTTAAGGCATCCGCTGTCCGGAAATATTGCCTGGTTTTCAATTTTATACAAACAGCATAGTCTGCCATGTGTGCTAAAGTCTTAGGGTTTATGAAGCATGAAAAAAGCCTGCTGTCTCAGGCCTCAACTTTTCTGTTGCAATAGAGAAAACACATAAATTTAAAAAAAAATGTAAAAAGATAACAATGCTTAAAATCAAATGACCTGGATAATGATGCAGAAGAAGTAAAGACATTGTCTTTACTGGTTCCTCCAACATAAATATAAATGCCCTCTGAAAAGTTCATTTTGCCATATCACAAAGGTGTTGCACTGCCAAATGAGCAATGACTGACTGTCTTGGTCAATGGGACTTCGTAAGGAAATACAGTTGAGCAAGTGGGAAAAGGAAAGTGTTTCTTTGATCTGTTGGGAAAATTCACCCTGGAAAATTTTGGTTCACTCATATTCCATTTGGTGGGACATAAAGCTTTGGATTGGGTTGGGCTAGCCATAGAGCCAAGGTTCATCTTTGCTGTAAGGAGGAGAAAGCAGCAGGAATAGCGGCCTCTTGTAGCCACCAGCACTGATGAAAGATGTCACTGTAAAAGAGTGATTTGATATTTATGGGCACATACAGTAATATACTGATACCTGCTATAAACTGAAATAAGCACACATTACTTAACGAACTTACCAGCCTGCGGATCTCTCTCTCACATTCCCGCTTTATTCTGTTAATCTCATCCTGATGGGACTGATAAGCCGTGCGCAGGTCAGCAGCCTTCATTTTATCGGCCTGCATAATGTTGTTCAAAGCTTCTTCAAGCTGCTTTTTGCCAGATTTCAGCTCCAAGATCTCCTGTTGCAACTTCATCCGTTCACCATCGAATGCCTTGCGAGCCTCCTCCTTTGCTTCACTCAGCAGCGCTGTCTTCACTTTGTCAGCTGCCCCGTCCCGCAGGACATTGACTGTTGACTGCAAACGCTGAATTTCACCATCTTTGATTTTCACCATTCTTGCTACCTCCTGCTCATGCTGCCGGATAAGTAGCTCTCTGACACTCTGAAGTTCCTTCATTTTCTCCTCGTGGAGCTTGGCTTTCAGTTCAGAAACATAAGCGGTGTGCTTATGCTGCTCCTGCTCCCTTTCTTGCTTAACCTCTTGGATTTTCTCTCTCAGTTTGCCCACCTGCAACATCAATATAAAATATCGATTAACAAATGTTACCACACTTTTAGAAGTCACCAAGGGAGCTTTTCCTGAAAAATAAAAATTCATCCTGCATATTCAAAACCAAAGGCTGCATACCTGTCACCTCTCTCTCCAGTAAACAACTAGAGAACTAGGGCTGGAAAAAGGCCATGTGCGTGTGCAGGAATCTGCTATGGGGATGTGCAACTGGCAGTAAATTCTCAGAGTTTTAGGGAATAAAATAAAACCGAGCAGTGTTCAATCTAATTCTCTCATTTCCTCCACCAACCACCCCAGACTACTATCATCCATAACCCCTCTACTGCACCTTACAAGATGGAAAATGAACCATAGAGAGTTTGTGTTTATGCTGGCAATACACTAATTTTGGATTTCCTAATTTCTTAGGTACTTTGTTAATTAAAGTCCTTACTAGATAAAGCAAAAGAATTGGCCTTCTGAAAAATCAAGTCTACTTAAGCAGACTCAGACAGGACACCCCAAAACTGAGACTATTCACAGTCCCCAGACACCAGAAAATACAGGCCAGTGACTCTAAGGGTTGGGGAAGGAGTATGGGAAAGGTCGCATAGCCTATTATAGTAATACCCACTGTGATTAAACCTTATAAAATGATGCTCAGCAGGCTGCATGGAAAGCAGTGCTTTTTCCAAGTGGAATTAGATACTAAATCAGAAGGAAGAAAAAAAAAAAAAAAAAAAAAAAGGTAAAAAAGACGGAGAAAGGTTTCCTTCCCTATTATAGTATACCAGAAAGGCTATAATGTATTTCATCATGCGTAGTGTCAGTAACATCTTTATACTATCCCTATCACTGTGACTGCCAAAATATGGGCTCTATACATGTACTTCTCATCTAAAGCAAAGTCAGAGGCAGAGATTTCAAAGACTTATGTTTTAACCTTGAGTGGCAATACAAATGTACATACCATGGTGCTTCATGGTACATGGAGGCTACTGAGCAGCAGGATGTTGGACACTGTCATAACAATCCTAGACTGCTTGTATCTATGCTATACAAAGCTGAGGTCTGTACTCTTACAATGCATTTAATTTATGCTAAACTAAACCAGAATTGCAACTTGCCTCAGATTAGTGTGGAAAGGATGGGAGATCTTTATTAATATTCAAACTATCATTTACTATGAAGGTATAATTAAAAGAAACTATTTTTTAGCATGATTCTGGGTTCTACAGTCAAAACAAAAGGAAAGAGTTAATTAAAACCAATAATACTAGTTCAGGAAAGGCCCAGAAACCTTCACTATTTTGTTCACTGAAAATAGATTGGATCTAAACCGGTACATTTCTGTGTTTGCTTTAGGAAAAATGGGACATCTTAACTCAAAAGCCTCATATATAACACATCCAGTGAATCCAAGATTACTACTTAATTTAAGAGTGACCATAAAATGAGATTAACATGTTACTCATCAAACCCACATCACTGACAGTAGGATTTCCAGAGTCTGAACTTCACCTGAAGTCTTCAGACAGCAGGGACAGCAGACTTTCTCTATGCAGAAGGTGTTATGATCCTGTTTTTTCCAACAGTCACTTTGAGAATTAACCAACTCAAACTTACACTAGATTTTAAAAAGTGAAGTAAATGAAAACAAAAGGGAAACAAGCTGGAGCGGAAGAGGAAGGAAAATTATCTACATTTTCATGATACCCTGTGGACTAAACACCAGCTGGTAGAGAGCTGTAATTACAGCTGTGGAAAAGGTAACAGCTCTGAATCAGACACCATCAGAAGTAGATTTTATTGCACAGATACTGTTACTCTATTCCAGGATGATTCAGATAACATATCTTTATGAAGAAAGATTTATTTATTTATTTATTTTTCTCCAAAAATGGTACATCTGGCTATTGGAATTTATCTGCAGGACATACCCCTGCGTTATTTCTTTTGGTGGGATGGCATTTAGTTCCAAGCCTATTGTGGATAGCACTGATTTTCAGTCTTGTATTAGGGTACTCAATTCCATAGGATACTCTAAGACTCTCTAATCCCTGTCCATGGGGGTTGCACTAGAGGATCTTTAAACGTCCCTTTCAACTCAAACCATTCTATGATGCTGTAACAAAGCTAGGCCGTTTACTCACCTGTTTACTACCACAAGTAGATGAGTTTATAGATAAATTTGCAAATGAACCAACACTCGTTATTTACTTAAATCTATTAGTTATTTCCTTACTGATGAGCAAAGAAAATTGAAATGAAACTGAGCAACAAGACCTAGTAACAATAACAGAGAACAAACTGTATAAATGAATATATAAACAAGGTTAATATACCTCCAGAACTACAGTAATTTAAAATTAGTCATATTGCACATAAAGCATGCAACTGAATGGTGGTTTTAATAATATACATTAATGAATGTGACTTCCTAAAAGCATTTTTAATATATGAGAAATAGATTCTGAAATTTTGAAGAAGTACTGAGTTACACAAAAGAGTATACTTGCTCAATTTTTTTGTCTTTCATTGAATTGAGTGAAGGCAACATCTATATGCATTGTTGCTAGCTGTGAGTACACATATTAAACCACTCAGAGTCACTGAATATTATCATATATCAGTCAGTAGTCATTTTACTTAAAAGCTTCAGCAAGAGCAATGAAAACAAGAAAAATAGGAACCCTTCTAAAACCCCTGGATTTTTACACTACATCTTAAATGCCTATCACTCCTCATGACCCAGTAAAAAAGATGTATCATAATTCTCAAGGTCTTTAAAAAGTCTTTTCTTGTTACTGTTTCTTGTCAGAGATGATGGGAAGTTAGATCTGCCTGGGCTTCCTGGAAATCCATCAGCTGTCCTTCCCGCAATCCCTCCGTCCATTTCTCCCACACTCTATGCGGATCTGTACATGTCTGGCTTCCAGAGCAACAGACTGAATGAAAATAGTAGTGTGGCATTTTCCCATATGCCAGAGTCTCAGTTTCAAGAGACACTTAAACTTTAAAGGAATTTGTCTTTTTTTAATTTCCGACAGTCTTTTTTTTTTTTTTTTTTTTTTTTTTTTTTTTTTTTAATGAAGAAAGCTGTTCTGTTCATAAGCAGAATATGAAGCATAACCAAGAAATGAAGCTAATAGGGAAACAAAGTCAGGCAGAATATCAGGGCACCAATAAAACAGTTATTTTCTGCATTTCTAAATTAAATCTTCAATAATCAGTGCACATTGATATAACATTGTTGCAGAAGCTAGCTTCACGGGAGATGACAAATGTCTTTTGCTTCTTCCCTTACTTATGGCTGAACACTGCCTGAAGAATTTTCTTTAAAACAGTACAATTATATTATCATAGTTTATTTGCATCTGGTGTTGTTTTCTTTGACAAGATACTTTGTGCACTTGAGACAGAAATATAATAATTTCATTTTATGTACTGGAGTCAATGACATAATTTTAAAAATCATGTATTTCCTAAAAGGCAATAACCTATTGAGTCATATATGTTTCCAAGTGCTACCAAACTACTGCCCCAGTAAAAATGTTATGGTAAGAACTTACTAAGGACTACCTCATGTTTTTCCCTTGGATTTAAATGCTTTTAATTTATGTTTTCAATTTATGGCACAATAGTCAGTCACTCGGAGTGAGGGGAATACTCTCCACACAGCTTTTTGCCAGGAACTCAGGTAGGCAATTTATTGCCAACTGTGAAAAATACAGGTTACTAGGAGTGAGGCCAACAAGCAAAGATGCTAATGTTTATTTTAAAAACCAAATGCAATAGCAACTTTCCTTCAAAAAGAACAAAAAATGTCTGTATGATTTGCTTTTTCTAAAAACACATTTAAATGCCACTCCTATTTAGGCACACTTAGTGTCATCTACTGTCCAGCCAACAGCATCCTTTCTATTAAAATTTCTGCATGCATTGGATCATGCCATTAAAAATTATTCACTTAGGCAAGACTGCTGCGGACATAAGCAAAGATGTCACTATGAAAAGGCAGCCCTAACACTGGCCCCGTTTTTATCAACACAGTAGCCAAATATTGGGCTATTACTTATTTGTATAGGGATTTTACTTATTTGTAATAGCAACTCAAGTTACAAAGTACTTGTTATGATTTGCAGAGTTCAGTCTATTTAGCATCTCCAACATATAAGGACAAACTTTTGAAGTTTTCTGTTTGTTTGGGTTTGGATTGGTTGGTTTGTGTTAAGTAATGAGTTTCCTTTCCTGAAAAGTTCTCTATTTGCCTACCTCTCTTCAACCCCCCTGGCCCACTCCTCATGGATTCTGAGAAGAAATTAGCTGGACGATGTTTAATACTTCCACAATATTTTGTGTAATGCAATTCCAAATTCAAAAGCTCAGTTACACAGCAGGTTACACATCACAATGAAAACCACATGCTGGGAAGAAAATCTTGTATCTTTCCATAGCGACTTTAGAAACACTACTGTTTAAATTACACTAAAGAAATTTACCTTGCAAGCTTCAAGAGAAAGGGAAAAATAGGTACATGTTTACTGGTCTTCCGTTTAAAAATATTACTGCAGCTACACTAGCCTTTCAAAAATTAATTGAACTGTACTTAGGTAACTTGTGCTTGGAGTTAGGGAATATAGAGTCATAGAACAGCTGAGGTTGGAAAGAATCTTCAGAAGTCATCTAGTCCAGCCCTGTTGCTTTAGACAATGTCCAGTTAGATTTTCAGTACCTTCAAGGATATAGCTTTCAAAGTTTGTCTAAACATCCTGTTAAAATGTTCAATCACAGGAAAAAAAAAAAAAAAAAAAAAAAAAAAACCAACCAAACAAACAAATAAACCACCACAAAACAACCCACCACCAAAACCAAAAAACCTTCTTACATTTAAATGGTATTTCTTGTATTTCAGTTTATGCCCGCTGCCTTCTGTCCTTTCACTGGGCCCCACTGAGAGCATCTTTATCCCCTCCTTCAGGTATTTATACACACTGATAATGTCCTTCCAAGCCTTC